AAGGAAGAACCTGGATATAAGAAAGTATTTTTCAAAGAAACCTGTAAGTCACTTAAAGTCAAGCTCACTCATAAAATATGTCCGTCATAATAGCGTTACAGGCTAGGCTTTGGCCCACATCAGTCTAAAATTGTATGTAACCATGAATAACGTGCTTTGGAAACTGAATGAAAATTGAAACTGTCAGAGAAAACGGCCTCGAGCAAGCCAGGATATTAGTTTACAGAGGCTGTTAAAATTATATGTCTAACATTAAAATGTTGGTGACACAATAATTTCATCCTAATGGTACTGACATATTCATAGGGTTAATTTTTGAGACAAAATGTCATGAGGTAGTCATGATTTTGCAAATATTCCACCTTGTAGTGCAGTTTGCACAAATTGTTTTAAAAATGCACTCAGCCTACAAACATTACTGATGAGTGACTGATGAGTATGTTGCATAATTCTGCTGAGAGATCTTTTACTTTGTGGTAACCTTAGATGAGTATAGGCGATCGTGGCTCAAAGAGTTGGCAGTTCGTCTTGTAACTGGAAGGTTGCCGGTTTGAGCCCCGGCTCGGACAGTCTCGGTCGGTTGTATGATACTTCATTTATATGGAATATGGCTGAAATAAACTAAAGTCTAAAATACTTAGTCAGTCATTTGTTTAATAGTAATTTAACATTATATAATTCACATATAAAACTAGGAATTGTAATTTTAAATGGTTTAAAAGTATGTAGAATAGCATATGAAGGCAAGTATATTTCTCCTTTTTTATCAAGAAGCAAAGACAAAAAGGGAAAAAAAAAGAAACAGGGAAGGGTTCAGTGGTTGAATCATCCCCACCAATGCCAAAACCAAATCTATGCCCTTGCAATGGGTTTGCAGTGTTTCAGGGTTTCTGTCAGATTTGGGACTGTATTAGTGCGTTAACACAGATATAAAAATATATAATACTGACTTAAATACCTACAGCTTACAAAAAAAAGAGTAATGCATGCATTTATGAAGGTGGCAAAGCAACTTCATTAACATACAAATACATGGGGATCTGTTTCACTAACATGTCAGGTTCACACAGTGGCACATTAATAATAATGCAGCTCTCCTCTGGATAAATCCTAGTATCCACTTGAGTCTCAGTGCACACACAATCCCTACAGCATCCACAATGTGGCAAAAGAGGGTAACCTCATTTATACTTGATGTGAGATTCAGTGATATGATAATAAAGTGAAGAAACAAAACATGGTAAATGCATGCATGCAACAAAGACAGAAACCAAATCCTCTGTTCATCAATCCAACGGCATGTAGTACAAGGCAGGAGTAAGTACACAGAAGGTTTGGCAGGGTTGTTTCATATGCCCTAAGCCTAACCTGTTCAGGTGTGCTGCCTCCTAATGTAGCTCAGCTTCAACCACCAATGAACTGTCAACAAGGAATGTAAGGCCAGCCCTGTAGCCACCGCATTAGCATTTTCCAAAAAGAGAGTTTGTTTCTTTCTCTGTGTGTACCTCTGCAGTAGATTGTCAATTCGTGAAGGCTGCACCCTGCCTCTCTCCCTATGACACCTAAGATGAGCTCCTGTTTTGTGAATATTTTTATTCACATACAAATGGTGCCACATCACTCCAGTGCGTTCTGGAAGCACTATGCAAATGCCAAAGAAGAAATGCCTTTTCTTAAATCCAAAAGAATTTTTTTTTCCCTAAAAACTGGCTGTAGTATAAGTGTATAAGTTTAGATGCTGTTAAACAATATTCTGTATTTTATTTTTGCCAAGTGGGATTTCTGACCGATTTTCTATTATCTGAGTTTTCCACATTAAAGCTTGGAGCAGTGGACCCTCATTTAGCCAAGGGTTGGAAAAAAAAAAGGAAATAAAAACAAAGGGGAATCGGGTGCTGCCATCTAATAGACTGAGATTTCGTTTGGATATTTTTAGTCTAAGTTCATGCTGAAGTCACAGTTACCATAATTGTGGTCAGTATGACCATTTTAATTATTTAACATTTTATATTTAAAACAAAAATAAGCGAGGGTGGTGGGATCATCATCTGGTCATCTGGTTCAGACTTGAAGCCCCTCTCTGAAAGCAAAATTCCTGCCGGTGTTGTGCCAAAAAGTGATTGTCTGCCAAAAACTGATTTCCGGTATTTGCCAAAAACTGAT